GACTTGGAAAATGAAAGGCTTAGAAATAAAAGAGGTAAGTTTTGGAATCAGACAGTGAGTGTTCAGAACAAGTGACATAGGTGACAAGACATAGCAATCACACTGCCAAGCAAAGCAGGTGTAAGCCTGCTCTGAATAGGTCCTCTGTGGTTTCACAACCTAAATCCGTGCTCTTCTGTGTGCAGCTCAATAAGTGTCATTCTGGGGGCCCACAACATCCAGAAACAAATAAGACCTAGCAGCTAGTCCGTGTGAAGAGAGCCATTACATACCTAGAACAAACTACTAGAACCTTCTCCAATGACATCATGCTGTTGCAAGTGAGGGAAAACTTTCTGCTGCTCTCGCTCTTCTCTTACAGGGATGTTGCTCCCCGTGGGTCCCTGCTCTTTTCCTCCTTGCCCTCATGTCGATCACAGAATGTAGGTCCAGAAGGTATAGGGTCTAAGCTAGAGGCTAATTTAGACGATCATGCTTGTTCACCATCAGGTGGAGAGAAAGGCCAAGCAGACTAAAGCTGTGCAGCCCCTCAGCCTGCTTGAGGCCGTGAGCCAGGATAATTCAGGAGACACATGCCTGGTGGCAGGCTGGAGAAAAATCACCCCATTGGGTCCCCTAGCAAGCACACTGCAAGAGGTGGAGCTATCATTATAAGACAAACAAAAATGCCAATCTTCCATCCATGCCTACTCTACTCTCACTGAAATTTGTGTGGCAGACCCAGGGAAAACAAAGACTAGTTTCAAGGTAAAATTTCCACTGCCTATAAACACAGAACCCAGGGAAACAGAAACTTGGTGGGGGAGATGACAGCGTCCATATCTTATGCTCTGAGTCCAAAGTTTGAAGGCCGGTCCTCTACAGCAATGCATTGTTTAATTCATCCCCTTCATAGATAGGAGTAGAGGGTGGGGAAATAGCAGTAAACTGAATTCAGTGTAATCACTTGAGTATCTCAAGGATTGCGCAGAAAGGTTCAGGTAGGTTAATACTGGAAAGTAAAGTCAGGGTGAGGTTAGAGCCTCTGGTCTGAAGGAGGCAGCCAGACATACCCTTCCCTGATTGCATGCTCACAGCCCCCTGACAGAGGTCATCAACTGTGGTGAGGTTCAAAGAGCAGCAACAGGAGGAGATGTATTCCATGCTTTCCTTCTCTGTCCACCGGAGGACTCTGGGGTCCCCTCATCTGTGAGGACATGATCCAAGGTTTTTCTCCTATGGAAAAAGGCTGGGAATCCCCCAGGAGACTTCATGAAGGTCTCCCACTTCCTGCCTTGTATAAAGAAAACCATGGAGCAGTTCTAATAGCAGGCACAAGATGGGCCTCCTCTGTGCCTCATCATCTTTACTGAGCCATAATACTCCCATGGGCCGAGGCCACTGCACAGTGACAATAGATTGATCTGAAGAATGACTGTCCCTAAAGTCATATTTATTCCTTGATACCCAATTAGCATGAAGCTGCACTGCTGGCCATTCCTACTGTGGCTTCCTCTTTTCTCCCCATGCCTCCCTCCTTCCTTACCTTCATTCCATACTATTCCTCATGGATTGCTCCCACCCATAATGTTTAATGCTCAGCACTCCAATGTTGCTTGCTGGACACACAGTAGTGTATCTCAGCATTAGGAGGTGTCATTTTTCACAGGGTCCCACAAACTTGTACTTCACCTTTCAAATGTAAATCTCTGTGCTTTAGGAATCTCTAGCCATCTCTAAGCCAAGAACCTTCATGAGATGCCCAACAATTTGGCAGAGAATAGATCAGGGCAGTGGAGAGGGATAATCCTAGAGATGCAGGAGCCTGGGCACTCACTTTCCTGTTTCAGTCCTTCTCCCCAGTGGGACAGGATTCTCCCCTTTCAGTGCTGTCTACTGCTTAGGAGGCTGAGATGGCTCTCACGAGGACCAGGTCCCACTTCGTGCCCTGCCCTGATCCAGGAGAAAGTTCAGTCCACCTCTGACTTCACTGCCTGGCTTTTCCACACCAGCCCCTCTCTCTACCTGAGTGCCTCTGGCCACCAGCTCCTTTCCTTTCCAGCTCCCTGAAGAGTTTCCAACTCTATGTGGAGTCACTGCTATCAGTCAGTTCCAGAAAACTTGCAACTCTCCACTTCACCTGGATAGGCCTGGCTGCACCATGTTCCAATCCAGCATTCTCCAAGACTCAGGCATCACCTCTTGTGAAGTCAAGGCCATCTCAGGTCTTTCAGTGTGGCCTGGTTTTGGAGTCCAGAGTCCCCCTCCTGGCAGGCATGGATTATTGCATCCTTTGAGTCACCCCAGAGAAGCTGGGCAGGAAGGATCACTTATCCCTCCCCTCTATCAACAAACACTCTTCTGATTTGTCTTTTTGTAGCAGGTATATAATAGGCTCTGGTGTCACCTTTGGAAAACACTCAGGAGTAAGAAATTTCCTCTAAATATCTCTAACTTCTCTCCTTCCACCATCGCAAGTCAATTTACCCAAATAGGCTTATATGGGAATCCACTAGAAATCTTACTTTGAAAAACATTAAATTCTCTGTATTCTGTCTTGGTTGTGCATTACAGTGCCACATGTGTGATATTTATGGTTCCAGAATTGTGTGATACTGAAGAAGGCAGATAGTGCTCATAGCCAGAGGTAGCCCATGTGTGGCCCCTGGAGACTGGGTTCAGAGGTATGGAGGGGATGAGAGGCAGCCCAACAAGGCTAAATTTCAACCCACAAACCTCCAAGCTGGTGCACTTCAGATGTGAGACACTTGTGACTGCATGATTTTATTTAGGATCCCCTATCACTCAAATAGCTCTACTCCTGCACATATGAAACAAACAAAAAAAATCTCATGATAGTTATGCTTCATCAAGTGATTGCAACATCAAAAATATCCCCTCTTCCAAGAGTTGAATATCTTAGGCAACAGTAGCAAAAATTGCCAAAGAGGATTGCATTGATTTTTGTTCACAAAGGAATCTACAGAGTGAAGAGTAACATTCATCAAAACTTGGGAGAAAATTTTGGTGAGCTACTATTCTAGCAGAGGGTTGATAGTCAAATGTACAAAACTTCATAAAAGTTGATACCAAGAAAGAATCAAACTGGGTGTGGTGGTTCATGTCTGTAATCTAAGCACTCAGAAACTTTAGGCAAAAGTATTGCTGGGAGTCTGAGGCCAGTGTAGGCTACATAGTGAGTTCAAAGCTAGCCTGAGCTAGATAGCAGGATCCCCATCTCAAAAAAATAATGCAAAACCAAACAAAACAAAAAGCCCAGTTGGTAATTGTGTACAGAATGGATACTTCCCCAAAAAGTACATACAAATGATGAAGAAGCACCAAAATTGGTTTCAATATCGTTAGACATGAAAGAAATAACACAAAACTACGTTAAGAGTCCATTTTACTCCAGTCAATAATAATGAAACAATAAATGCTTGTAAGCACTGTGTAAGAATGTAAATTTGCACTATCACCATGGAAATACATATTGTAGCTCATCCAAAAAGAAAAGTATAATATACCGTAGAGATAATATAGATTGAGCATACTCTAGAGTTACTTGTGCACCTAGGCTTATTTCAGTGCAATTCACAAAAGGTAAGCCACAGAAATAGCCTTGGCCCTCATATGCTGATTAATGGATAAAAACAATGTGGCATATATATACACTGGAGTATCACTGAGGCACAATGTCATGAGAAATGATTTCCTGAAACTGGAGATCATCGTGTTAAGGAAAATAAGTCAGAGTCAGAATGACAAACATACATGTCTTCTCTTAAATGTGGAAAATAAATAAGATGACATAAAAGTAGAGGAGAGATGATTAAAGAAGAATATAGTCAAGGGGAAGGGGAATAAGTGGAGGAGGGAAATATTCAAAGTACTCTACATGTATGTACCCAACAAGATAATACATGCAATAATAAGAGATAGGTGTATCTCTGTTCACCGTGGTGAGTTGCAAGGTGGAATTAAGGCTGACATGTCTCTTATTTATCTTTGAATTTATCCTATATTCCTAACATTATAATTATTAAAGTTCTTAAAAATACTTTGTCAAAAAATGCATTAAGTAAGATGATACATGGTAATATACTGCTGTGTTCTGTCAGAGATAAATGTTTACAGATAAAATTTAACCCACTTGTTTAAAGTATTACCCCACAGTGTAAAATGAGTGTTTTTGATGAGGAGATTTCCCCTTGCACTCTCAATTATCCTGCTTTACACAATAAATTACACAGTAACCCTTAAGGAATGCAGGCTCCATTCCCCAAAAGATGGATTCCAAGTTTCCCAATTAATCTGATACAGGGCTTGTTGTTTGAGGTGAGTCTGTAGGATCAGGCATGGGAGAATGCAATGGTTCAGGTCTGGAAGGTACCTGCATCTTTTTTACTCGCATGCATTTTCTACATAAGTCTCACAACATATCTAACCTCAAAGGAGGCTAGGTAGGGCTGCACCTGCCTGAGAGAAGGTGGACAGTGTAGACATGTAGTTCACCTGTGTCCCTTAGAAAAAAAGGAAATGATTTTTTCTAAGCTTCTAACATTGCTCTGTCACAGTGGTCCATAGTATTTGTCAATTATAAAAGATGACGCCCTTCCTTTTTTTTCTTCTGAAGTGAATGCATTCTCATTATAGAAATCTTAAATAATGAAAAGGTGAAAATGAGACACAAATTCTTGTACATATTTCCCTTTCACCCAACACACACACACGCACACACACACACACACACACACACACACACACACCCTTAATATCAACTTATACACATAGTATTGCAGTGTACATATTCCTCCTAACATGAAAGGCTACAAATTTATCCAGGCCTTTAAAGAGCCTTCTAAAAAACCAATTTAGTGACCAGAGAGGGCATTATTGCATGAATGTATCATCATCTATATTTCTCTTCTCCTATTGTTGAGTTTTTGGATTATCTAACCATTTTGACAAGAAGGTCTCAGGGCACATGTTTACCTCTTCTTCCTTTTTTCCCGATACAGCAAGACTCTCTCTGGGGTGCAAATGATGGGCAGGCAGAACCAGTGGTGTGGAAAATTCCAAAGCAGCAGTGAGAATAAAAGCCAGCAATTGGACAGTGGACTTGAACCTCTGAGAGCAGAGGCTTCTGCCCCTGCTCTCCCATCCTTGGATCCCAGATCACCACCTCGGACCATGGACCTCCACCTTGGACCCCAGACCTCCACCTCAGACCTTGGACGTCCGCCTTAGAGGGCAGTCACTTCTGCACCTGCCCTGATTCCCTGGAAACTCAGACCTCCACCTAGAATGAGACCACTTCTGTGCCTGTCCTCCCACCCTCAGATCCTGGATCTACACCTCGAACAGTGGTCACCTCTGTGCATGTCCTCCCACATTCGAGAACACTCCCACTTCTGATCTTTTTAATTTTTAATTTTATTTAAGGAGAAAAGAAAAAAATTCAGTGAAAGGGTACAAGTTATACAGATTTACAGAAAAAAAAATGAACATTAGGTAATCACTAGTTAATGGATTACATATTGCCATCATAGAAATAATTGTTCAAGTCACAAAACTAAAGCTTGTAGAGTGGACATTCCAACAATGATACTGCAAACAGTTCTGTTCAATGATCCAATAAAACTCTGTGATATCATTTTCTATCTTATACAATTAAATATACATGCAGTTATATAGTTTAGAGCACTTTCTTTTCCTCTCTTTTGTACAATGACTATTACACATTTTGGGTTTCATTGCTCCCACGGTTCTTATTGCTTTTTGGAAGAGAGTAAAAGCAAACGTGGCATAACAGAACAGAATTGGTCAAGTCAAAAGGGTGGACATAATAGATAATGTAAATCATAATACAAGGTGATCATCAATGGTTACCATAATGCATCCCGCTATCTCTAATAGAATTGCCTATATCATTAGTTATAATACAATTGAACAAAACAGTAAAGAACAAAACCAACACCACCAAAACACTGGAGACATTGTAGGTCTTCAAAAGTAGATAAAAGTCAATGAGAATGGGCGTTATAATGAATCTCATTATCTTCACAGCTGATGCCTAAACTTTCGAACCTGATACTATCCAGCAAAACAGAATAGGGGAACATCAGTCAAAAACAAGATGGTGAGAGTAGTACAGGGCTTCAAATCGAGATAATAGAAAGTCAAAGTGGGTTACTATAATATATCCTGCTATTTTTTCCCTTTAATTAAATGGATAAAAATAAAAAAGTAAATAATTCAGTGGAGATTGAGATAAAAGAAGGCATAACAGTGAAACAGCGCAGATCAAAAAATAACCATTTAAGCAGAATAGTGTTTCACCACCAGATAATCCCGACCCAAAAGTAGTTACCATATTGACTCTTTCCTTGAAATCCTTGAGTACAACTTCGTATACTGTAGCATTAAGTGTATCAAAAAATTGTAAAACCATTTAAGAGAATGACAGCATTACAGAGTCTTTAGAATTGACTAACAGAAAATGAACAATGGTTTCTGTATAATCTCCTCGTCTTTAAAAGGTTTTTGCTTATACTATTGTACATAATAAAATCCAATAAGATACAACCTATTTAGACCATTGGAGACAGAAGAACAACTTAATGTGGCTGTTGATCTTCAGCTGCACTTCCTCCTCCCAGAACCTTGGACTTCATTGGATTAGCCTTGCTGGTTTAAAGAGAGACTCAGTAACCAAAAAGAGGACCTCATCAGTTTTCACCAGTAGGTTAACTTTGTCTCTGAATTAGAGGCCTTCAGGTCTTCAATTCAAAAGATCATGAATACCTAATTTGAAAATCTTTACTCATAAAGGATGGACAATACAGAGGAAATGGATGATTTCAAGGAACATATGAACTACAAAATCTCGATCAGAAAGATTTCAATAACCCAATATCAGCTTTAGAATTTTAAAATGTGTTTAAAAACATACCAACAAAAAAGTCTCTGTCCTGATTGACTCATGGCTGAATTCTACAAGAAATTTAGAGAAGATTTAAGGCTAAAAATCCTCAAATGCGTTAATGAAACTGAAAGGGAAGCAATGCTCCCTACCTAATTCTGGGAGGCAAGTATTACTCTGATACTAAAACCAGAGAAAAACTTAACCAAAAAGAACTATAGTCCAGTCTCACTAATGAACGTTGATGCAAAGATTCTCAGTAAAATACAGTGCAAATAGAAGGCAGCAAATTATCAAGAAGATTATACATTATGACGAAGTGGGGTTTATCCCAAGAATGCAGGGATGGTTTAACATATGCAAGTCAATTAATGTAATACACCACATCAACAGAGCCAAAAGCAAAAATTAAATGATTATCTCTATAGATGCAGAAAAAGCTTTCAATAAAATCCAACACTTGTTCATGATAAAAAAAAAAAAACTCAGAAGAGATGGTCTCTACCTCAATCTGAAAAAGGACATCTATGACAAACCATCAGCCAACATTTTTCTAAATGGACAAAAACTGAAAGCTTTTACTCTAAAAACAGGAACAAGACAAGGATGTCCATTTTCAGCACTCCTATTCTATATAGTCATGGAAATACTAGCCACAACAATCAGACAAGAGAGAGAAACTAAAAGGAATAAAGACAGGAAGTGAAGAAGTTAAATTATCACTATTTGAAGAAAACATGATACTCTACATAGAAGACCCAAAGAACTCCATTAAAAGACTACTAGAGGTAATAAATTATTTTAGTAATATGGATGGATACAAAGACAATGCAAAAAAATCAATAGCATTTTTCCACACACAAAAAAAACTCAGAGATAAACTATGAAAATATTACCTTTCACAATAGCATCTAAAAAATGGAATACTTAGGAGTCACAAGTGAAAATGTGAAAGACCTTAGTGCTGAAAATTATTACTACTCTTAAACAGGAGATGGAAAAGTGTAATAGAAAATGGAAGAAATTCCTTGGCCTTAGGAAGAACCAACATTGTGAAAATGCCTTACTCCCTTAACTATGATACAGATTTATTGCAATCCCAATCAAAATACCATAAACATACTTCATAGATCTAGATAAAACACTCCTAAAATTCATTTCATAATATAAGAAATCTAGAATAGCAATGGCAATTCTGGACAACAAAGGCAAGGCAGGAGGCATCTAAATTGCTGACTTGAATCTATACTACAACGCCACAATGAAAATATTATCATAGTACTGGCAAAGAAATAAACCTGAGGATCAGTAGAACAGATTAGAAGATGCAAACACAACTAGCAAAACCCTCAGCCATTTGATGTTTGACCAAGGTACTAAGCATGCTCACTGAAAGGACAGCCTCTTTAATGAGTGTCCTTGAAAAAATTGGCTCTCCACATGCCAAAGACTGAAACTAGACACATGCTTATCATCATGCATAAAACTAAAGTCAAAATGGATAAACTATCTAAATACTAAAACAGAAATAAGAAATCTACTGGAAGACAAGACAGGTAGAAGTCTTGGAGACATAGGGATAAGCAGAGTATTCATGAACAAAATAAACCTACATAGGAAATACTTCAAAAAATCAACAACTGGGATCTCATATTATTGAAAAGTTGCTGCACTTTGAAAGAAATTACCAACAGGGTGCAAAGAAAACCCACAGAATGGGGAAGAATTTTACCCAGCAACTCCTCAGACAAATGACTTATATCCAGAACATATAAAGAATTATATTAAGGCTCTAAATTCAAAGCCCCTCTAAAAATGGGCTTCTGAGATGAACACACAGTTCTCAAATGAAGATACACAAGTGGCACATAAATACATGCAGAAATGTTCACTATCACTGGTCATTCAAGACATGCACATTAAAACAGCTCTGAGATCTCATCACACTCCATAAAGAATAGCTGCCATCCACAAAGCAACTGATAACAAACGTTGGCTAGGATGTGGGGAAAAATGAACACTGCTCCACTGTAGGTGGGCATGTAGATTGGTGTAGTCACTGTGGAAATCCGTATGGAGATTTCTCAGACGACTAGAATTGGAAGTTCCATTCAATCTAGCTACTCCAAGCCTGAGTATTTTCCCAGAAAAAAATGAAAAGTTCACAGCACAGTGATATATGTACACCATTGTTCATAGCAGCACAATTTGTAATAGCTAAATCTTGGTAACAACCAAAATGCCCATCAAACACATAGTGGATGAAAAAGATGTGGTATTCATACTAATCAGCTATTAAAAAGGATGTCTCGAGACATTCATAGGTAAATGGAGACAACTTGCCTCTATCCTTATAAGTGAATAAATAAAAATCATATTTATAAAAATCACATTGTGTCTCTAGTGTGAAATGTATTTAAAAATGTAGCAATAATAAAACCCCAAATGTGTAATTGCTACTGTAAAGCAGACAGGAAAAGAAAATGCTCTAAATGATATAACTGCAGGTATGGTTAAGTGTGTAGGATTGATAACCATATTACTAAGTTTTTCTTGGATCATTGGGCAGAACTGTTTGCAGTCTGACTTTTTGAATGTCTACTTTGTATGTTTTAATTTTGTAACTTAAACAACTATTTCTAAGACAATGAACTGTAATTTATCAACTAGTGTTTAATGTTTAGTTTTTTTTTTCTGAAATCCTGTATTATTTTTAACCTTTGATTGGTTCTTTAATTTTCTCTTCAAATAAATTTTAAATAAATAAACAAAAATTTTTTACTAGCAAAGAAAAGCCTAGAAAAGCCCACTGCAGAATTCCACCAAAAATTGAAAGGAAACTTAATGCCAACATTCCTCAAACTCTTCACTGAACTTGAAAGGGAAGCGATTCTCCCTAACTCATTTGTGGAAGCGAGTATTACTCTAAAACCAAAACCACAGAAAGACCACCAAAAAAAAGAGAACTACAGGTCAACCTTCCTAATGAACATACATGCAAAAATTTCTCAATGAAATACTGAGAAACAGAATAAAGGTAGACCCATGCCTATTACCATGTACTAAAGTCAAAATGGAAAACATATCTAAATATTAAAACAAAAAATAAAACTGAGTTTGCTGGAAGACAAAGTAGGTAGAAATCTTGAAGAGTTAAGTAGTAGGGTACATAAATAATTCATGAACAAAAATCAAACTGCACCAGATGCTTCCCAGAATCAATAACTGGATTCTTGTCTTATTAAAAAGTTTTGCATGTTGAAAGAAATGTTCAGCAGAGTAAAGAGGAAACTCATTACTTTGAAAAAATCTTAGTCAACTGTCTCTCAAAGAACATCAGTCCAGGACATATAAAGAATTTTAAAATTTCAGTCCCCTGATATTCAAATACCCAATCCAAAAATGGGCATCTGAGATGAATACACAGTTGTCTGATAAAGAAATACAAATGGCAAATAAATACATGAAAAAATGTTCATCATCATTT